AAGTAGAACAGTCTGAAAGCATATTCTGAGTGCTGTCAGGTTTCCAGAATTTATATAATAGAGTTTTTTTCCTCCTCCTTTTGAAAGCTGTTGCTTTTCTAATGCCTAAAAGAGCCACTGAGAGTACAATTAGAAAGGGGTTTGGTGTCCAGGGAAACTGAGCCTAAACACAAAGAATTTCCCAGTTCCTCACACGGAGGCTCCATTGTTTAGACTCGTACACACTCAAGACATCAGGAAACCAACCATTGAAAGGTTTTCTCAAGGGCCCTAGAACTATGGATATGATCCTTCCATTCTGCTGTGTGTGTGTCTGTGTGTTGTTACGCTACTGTGCATGCATGCAATGTATATTACGTGCACACACGGAGATAGTTTGAACACACAGCGACTGCATTTCAATTGCAGGAGATTGAATTGCCTCCTAGTACTAGGACTTTGAAGTCTTGCACTTGAAGAAAACCGACCCCAGCAGGGAAATCTTAGCCTAGCTGGCTGTAATGTTCGCTATTATAGGTTTTGTGAGTTTTTTTGTACATACATGTGCTTTTGGACCATTCATATTTTTGGATATACTTGCAGGAAATTTTAATCTAAAAGCCAGTGTGATAGAAACATAAAGAAAGCATAATCCTATGGCTCTAAGGTAACATTTTTCATAGGCTTTTATATATAGGCATGCCATCATATTGAACATGTTATTTTATTCACTAATAACATATTCCGTGTTTCTACAAAAACTTCCTAATTATACCTTTAAAGGCTGAATAATATTCATGTTTATGGTTTCTATTTTATCTGCAGCATAAGCACAGGAAGAAGGAAGAAAGAAAAAGTCCTACTTGGCTTTTTTTATTTTTTTAAATTGAGATACCTACTTGGCTCTTTCCTGAGATTATTTAGATCAATTTAGCTGCTATCTTTCCAATCCATAAATGAGGTATAACTTTCCATTTTTAAACTTTAGTTTATCATATTTTATTGCTGATACAGAGAAATACAATAAATTTGAATATATTCACATCATTTTAGCAACCTTGCAAAATTCACTTAGTATTTCTAAATAATTTCTAGATTATTATGACTATTTTATTTTTTATGGTTTTTTATTTATATATTTATTTTCTAGTGGATTTGAATTTCAACAGACTTGTGAAGAATGTTTAATATCTTTGTTATTAAATTTTTTTTTTTACTTTTAAAAATTTTTAAACTTTATTTAAATCCAAGTTTGTTAACATATAGTGTAATAATGATGTCAGGAGAAGAATCTAGTGATTCATCACTTACATATAACACCCAGTGCTCATCTCAAAAAGTGCCTTTATTTATTTATTTTAAGAGAGAGAGAGCACATGCAAGCATGGGAGGGGCAGAAAGAAGGGGAGAGAGAAGCCCAAGCAGGTTCCAAGCTGTCAGTGAAAACCCAATACAGGGCTCAATCTTATGAACCCGGAGATTACGACCTGAGCAAAATCAAGAGTCAGAAGCTTAACCGACTGAGCCACCTAAGATTACTATGACCATTTAAATTCAGCTTTCCCTTGTTTGTTTCTTTTAATGGATCATGGACATTCTAACATTCTATTTGCTCTTTTGGCTTAGTTAACTTAAGAGCTTTTGGGCAAACCACTCAAATGTCGTTTTGTGACTTGTGTTATAGACAAAATTTGGCTAAGGAACTTTAACAATTTAAGTTGAACAATATGTTACATTTCTATAAATATGTGCCTTACCTTTTTATTAATTTATTAGTATTTTTATTTATTTATTTTTAATTTACATCCAAGTTAGTTAGCATATGGTGCAATAATGATTTCAGGAGTAGAATCCAATGATTCATCCCCTACCTATAGCACCCAGTGCTCATCCCAGCAAGTGCCCTCCTTAATATCTCCTGCCCACTTAGCCCTTTCCTCCACCCACAACCCCCCTCCAGCAGCCCTCAGTTTGTTCTCTGTATTTAAGAGTCTCTTATGTTTTGTCTTCTTCCCTGTTTTTATATTATTTTTGCTTCCCTTCCCTTATGTTCGTCTGTTTTGTGTCTTAAATTGCACATATGAGTGAAGTCATATGATATTTCTTTCTCTGACTGGCTTATTTCGCTTACCATAATACACTCCAGTTCCATCCATGTTGTTGCAAATAGCAAGATTTCATTCTTTCTGATTGCCGAGTAATACCCCATTGTGTGTGTGTATATATATATATACCACATCTTCCTTATCCATTCATCTGTCGATGGACATTTGGGCTCTTTCCATACTTTAATATGTGCCTTACCTTTAGAATCTTCTCTTGGGATCATTTTGGATTCAAGGTTTTCCATAGCCCCAGACATTCAATATTTGCTATGCATGGGAGTTCTCGTCAGCAGTTTGTTCTTGAAATTATACCCCAGACATCTCTGACACATAATTATTTTCCATTAGCGAGACATACCCACGCTGTCCTATGCCTTCTGCACTGGCCATTGGCACCAGCTACCCTTCTGGGAGCTCAGATTTCTCTCAGTGGAGGGTACCATAAGAGACCCCAAATCTGGGTGCTGCCGACCCTTGGATGGTTCTGCAGCATAGGCAGAGTGACATTCAAAGCACGAGTTAAGGGGCACCTGGGTGGCTCTATTGGTTAAGCGTCTGACTTTGGTTCAGGTCATGATCTCACAGTTCGTGAGTTTGAGCCCCATACCGGGCTCTGTGCTGAACGTTTGGAGCCTGGAGCCTGCTTCAGATTCTGTGTCTCCTTCTCTCTCTCTACCCCTCCCTACTTGTGCGCGCTCTCTCTCTCAAAAATAAAATAAAAAATTTTTTAAAAGACAAAAAAAAAGCACGAGTTAATGCTAATATGTCTAATATAAAAACTCCTTTGTGAAAAATGGATCTCACTGTAATGCAAAACATTTAAATCAGTGTTATCAAAATATTGACATATGAAATATCCATATTACATTTTGCCTTTCACCAACACTTGTGTTTAGATTTCAGTTCTACCATAAATTTTTTAGGTGGGGGGGTGGGGGAGGAAAGAGGGGCTGAGAGAGAGAGAGAGAGAGAGAGAGAGAATCTTAAGCAGGCTCCATGCTCAGTGTAGAGCCCAGTACAAGGCTCAATCCCACGACTCTAGGATCATGAGCTGGGCTGAAATCAAGAGTCAAATGCTCAACCAAGTGAGCCACCCAGGTGCCCCTCTACCATAAAATTTAAACTTAACTCTTAAGTTCCAACTTAAGGCTTCATCTTGAAGACCTCACATATTAAAATTATGGTAAGCTGTTTTCTAGCCAGTGCATGGAGTCAGCCTAATTATCATCCACACTGGGACATGCTGAGAGAAATAGGGGCTGCTTGTGATCACTATAACAGACCGACAGGCATAAACTGAAACTATCCTGAGCAAACCAGAACACATAGTCCCTACCAATGCACCCATGGCTTTAAAGCTTCTGAAGTTAACTTCTATACTTCCATAACTTCTATGCTTAAATCATAAGTAATCATTTTTATTTTAGTTTTAAAATGGAAAAAGGCAATGTCAGTTTCACCCAAGCTCAATGTTCAGATTTGCTTCCATCTAAGCATCTTAGCAAAACCTATTCAAATGGATTCAAAACTTCACAGCTCTGTCTCCTGTTCAAACTCCATTCCATACTAGCTTCATTACCTAAAATAGACAAAACCAAATTATTTCATAAAATCTGTGTCCGTAAAGAAAGCCAAAAACTTCTGGCTCCTTGGAGAAAAGCTTATTGGTATTCACTGGGTAGTTTTCAGTACTCCGTCTGTAAGGCTTCCTGGAATATTTGGGGTTTGGTGGGACCCCACACAGATGATCTTCTGTCTTTGTCACCTGCATGCACAGTCTGAACAGTACAAAAACCTCACTGCCTTGGAAGGGTTAACTGCTCATCTGTTTCACCCAGCTTAGTTAATTCAGCAGCTAAAAAGCTGCTTGGAGTGACAACTCTAAATATAAAAACTCAAAACAACACTTAAAGGGAACAGTGATTCGTCCAAATTTTTCCCTCTCTTTTAAAAAGAAACCTATGAGTATTATTTGGGGGCATTGTTAAAAATCTTATCTTGGTTGTTAGCCTTTTTTAGAGGCCAAATTATGTTGGTCCCTAAATTCCTCCTGAGAAGACAATTGTTGATCACATTCAGATGTTGTGAACCAATCACATAACCCTTCTGTATCTGAGATCTCAGGACACAGAAACAACAGAATGTGGGTACAGAGAGAGGGATTTATTTTAAGGAATTGGCTCATGCACTTGTGGGGGCAGCTAGTCCAAATCTGCAGGGTGGGCCGGCAGTCTGGAGACCCAGGGAAGAGCTCATGCTGTGGCTCAAGTCCAAAGGCTTTCTGGAAGCAGAACCCTCTCTCCCTCAGGGGAGGCATGATCTGCCTTCATCTTATTGGATGAGGCCCACCCACATTATGGAAGGTGATCTGCTTTACTCCAAGTCAACTGATGTAACTCAAAGCTAACTTTTTTAGATGAGATGAATCTTGAATTAACTGTCACACTTGCCCTGCTCCTTAAGATGGAACTTGGGCCCTCATCTGAGGTCTTACATTTGGCAACCGCTGAGGAGCTGCCTCTGACGGAGGGAAGCCCAGGTCCCCACACCTCCACAGGGTGACTTGGCCATTTTACACCGGGGGAAACCAAGTCCTCGCAAAAGGTTCCATGAATTGGTCCCAGGATCAAAAGAGGCTTGGGGGTAGAGTCAGGACAAAATCCTGTGTCACGGAATGGTGGGCCCCAGCTCTTCCCACCACCACCCTTGGCTCCAGCAGGGCCTGAACTCACCGGGGACTCATTTCACTTCTGACCTGAAATATTCCAGCCAAGCCTGAGCCCGTTCAAACCAGAAACTCTGGGGGAAGAAAATCAACGTATTTCCTGGAGGTGACTTCGCATTCCCATCCCTGGCCTTCCTACTGGGCAGAGCACCGTGCCCAGCGGCCACACACGGACTCATCCACAGAGGGACTTCTCTTTGAAAAGTGCTTTATTTCAACAAGATCTACGTTAGGTGCATGGAAACATATCAAAATGTTACAGAAACATGTGGCCCCAGCTGAGGCCTTGTCAAATCACATCATGATCCCTAGATGCATCCGTTTGTAAGTTCCGAAGACCGACAGTGAACCTGGTCATGTACCATTGCAGAAGGCAAGTCAGGATTATGAAAAGGATACTTCACAAAGCTAAAACAAGTGATGAGACCCTGTTACTAGCAGCAGTAACACAACAGAAACCACCGGCCCCGGGAAGCAGGTCTGGGATCGCCTGGGAAGACTCCAGGGGTAAACTGAGGCTTTCCCGTCACAGTTCGTCCACATCTCGTGCTTGGGTAAAACGCAGGAGGGCGCTGTAACCTCCCATGACAGGGTAACTGCTTTCGGTCCCACCTGAAAGGAGGGTTGCTACATTCATTTTCACCTCTCTCCCTCTCAGAGACCACTTCTCATCTGACTCAAGCAAGGATTTGTGTACAGCTTAAGCAGCAACTCAAAAACAATGCGCCGCTACAGCAAGGATGTTAGAGACTTCCTCTGCTTGCTGTCCCAGCCCCCACATCACGGTTTGGCCATGAGGCCCTGAAATTCCCTTGTTCATACAGAAATTCCTCTCTTGGCGATGTATCTAGGACATCATATTTCTCCATGCCAATAAGGAGCTTTGGGTTTTTTTGTTTTTTTTTTTTTTAAGAGAGCTTCTCTTAAGAGTTTCTTGCCCTTCTGGGATCCATTGCTTCTCTTCGCTCCTGACACTCAGAAATAACCACCCAATTCTGCAGAAAAAGATTTGCGCCAAGAAGTTTTGCATCTGAGAACAGATTTGTGTGTCATTACAGTTTAAAGTCTAATCTACAACGATGATAAAATGTCTTTATCTGGGGATCTCCAGGAGAGAGTATTATTGTTTTCTTTCTGGGAGGGGGGAGGGAAGGGTGCAAATATTTCTCCTTGAAGTCTCAGACCAGAACCTCAGTCCTCACATTTTTCTCTAAGGTGGGTAGCTAATCTGAGCTCCTCCCTCCTCAACCTCATTTAAAACCCAAGTCCATCAGCTTGGAGATGCGGGCGCACATTCCTCGCCAGCACGCACAGGCAAGCCTGCTGTTTGTGCTTCTCAGCCTCTCCCCAAGGCATCCCCCCACTCCCATTTCACTCATCACCTGTCCACTCATGTGATCACCGAGAATGTGACCTTGTGCTTAATCTCATCATCACCTGGGGGAACGCACCCCCTTCCCAGCCTGATGGACTCGGGCTTTTCCTTCATTTGATCACCTTGTAACATAAACCCCTAGAAAAAGAAAGCCAGATGTGGCTATACTGCTTTTCACAAGTTAGGGGGGAAAAAAACCCTATAAATTGGCCTTTTGTTCTTCACACAATTTCAGGTTCATTGCACACAATTACATAAACCCCCACAAATCGGTACAGGAATTCAAAGCCGCCAGGCCATGTGATACCAGTGAGAAAATCCAGCTCATGCTGCGGTGAAGTATCTCTGTTTCAGCCGCTGCTATTTCAAAGGACCTTTCCAAAATTCCTGATCGGGTTATTAGGAAGTAAGAAATGATCTCTAAACAGGGTGGGCCAAAATGGCAAAGTACGGCCCACAGTGAGTGGAAATGTATCCTGTAAGATGCGATTTCCCCTGACTTCCACCCTGAATCCGTTCCCCCCACCCCTGCCCCATCTTTAAAAAGCCAGGTCTACCTTAGTATCACTTTCTCAGAAAGGGATCCGGCAAACCTGACGTTTTGCAACGTATCCATATTTAAACTATCGTAGTGCTAGTGCAAATCAAAAAGAACTTTCAGGAACCAGAAACAGCTGTCCAACAAAAGTTAGCAGTTAGTAGTTGGCTCTGTGGAAATTTCTCTGCCTAGCCCACTGAGGAGAATTACTGTGGCCAACAAAGGCTGTGAACAGTCACAATAAAAAGAACTGGAAGAGAAGTCTCTTAAGTCACTTTCTCAAAGGCAAGACTCAGGAAGCGTGTTTGCATTCACACAGCCGCTCTCGGCCATCTGGAACAAAGGGAGCCTCTCCTGACCCGGTTTTTCTGTGCACTTACAGAGGCCCACCGAGATGCCAGACTGAGACTAAGACCACCGGATTTCCAGTCCATGCCCCATGGGGTTGGTGGCGCGGTCCCCGAGGAGATCACCTTGCTAAGAGGCCCCTGGCACCTTGCCAGGTGGCCATGTGCCATCGTTTTGAAAATCAACAATGAGACCACAGCTGTGAGCCCTCTAGAGGCCACGGAGGCCACAGGGGAGAGCAGGGGGCAGGAACCGCCCGGCTGCAAGCCTCCACCTTCCCTGCAGGTGCTGACCAGTGGCTCTCCTTCCCCTGACCGCCCAGCTCCCCAAACCTTCCATGGAGGGGAGGTGAAGAGGTGGGGAGCCTCTCCGCCAATGAGGCTGAGACACCTGCTGTTAGAGGCTCCTGGCCTTGCTTGGTTGATCCCCCAGCCGGGCCCCTGCCCCGAGTGTCTATCTGTCCCTCTTCAAACTGTGTCAGCCACACTGTGGCCCAGCTGCCCGGAAGTCTTCCTGATGGGGACCCCAGGGGGACAGTACTGTCCTGCCCTTTCCCCGCAGTTGGGCCTCTTCTAATGATCACCCAGGTGGCTGCCTAGAGAAGCTGAAAGAGAAGCTCCACCCTCCCGATGCACCTTCGCAGGGCAGCCCCAAGAGCTTCCCCGAGCCCCACACTCGGTCAATAGCAGGCTCATTCTTGGAGTCCATCTCCACACACAAGGTGAGAGCAACCTGCAAAAATTCAGTAGTTGGAAAGAATGGTGCCCTGACTTCAAATACATGGCCTCAGCATCAGGCGCACGAGGATCCCCTGATGATCCGAAACGGGCCAGGCTTGCAGGTGTCTGTCATTCCTGCAAGAAGCCTCTACATTGCCCTAAAGAGGAAACTCTCTGGCCACACTAGCCAGTCTGCCATGTACAGAGCAGTGAGACCCTTCCTTCAACTCGAGGAGGCACCAGAGAGTTGGGGCCGGCAGCTCGGCGTGCTGATCGCGGCATCAGGCTCCTCTGCTGTCTCCTAGAGGTGGCCATGGAGGCGAGGACAGAGGCAGAATCCGCAGAGATCATCACATCCATTTTTGTTATTTAAAACCATCAAAGTTTCCAGTGTAAAAACGCGTGGGCTCATTGCAGCTACGCCAAGGATGGTTTCTCTTTCTCTTTGCGTCACGCCTTCCCCAGGGACAGGGGGCTGTTACTTTGTTAATGTCCAATCCCCAATCCTGTCAGGAGTACAAGGAGCATCTCCACTAACATATAAATATCCCGGATGGTGAGCTTGCTGAGTCCCCTTCCCTTCTAAACATGTGTGGCTGCTCCCTGGCGCTGGAGGGGAGAGATTTTGTCTTCCGCTTAAACCCCTCGGGTTGGTGACGTCTCTGATTTGCCCTCTCTCGAGCATCATACCTGCAAGCCCCGCAGACTCATGCTGGTTGTTTGGAATTCAGTTGCATGTGAATATCAGGTAGGCACGTGGATATGTACCATGTGTGCACACACGCTTCCATTGCGTGCACGTGCTCATGTGCGGACACAAACACACACACACGCACATGCACACACGCACGCACACACACATTTTAGGTCCTTATAACAAAGCTCAAAAGTCCTTGTGAGTGAAGGAAAGGGGCAGAGTGCAGGGATCCAAGGATGGGGAGACGTCTGCTGGCTTCTCCATCCCGCTCCGGGCAGTGAATGGTGGCTTGGTGGCCGCTAGAGAGGTCTCCATCTAAATGGTTCCATGAAAGGAAGGTATCCAGCTTCCCGTGCATCTTCTCATGTTGGCGGCGGCCCCTGTGGCATCTGGATCCCCTCCCTCTTGTGGCTTAGATTGTTGCTGGGGTCTCAGCCATCTCCTCCAGCCTCTGCCGGATCATCAGTCGAAGCACGGTGTACCTGGGGACGAGGACAGCTGTGGTGGACAGCAGAAAGCAATGCACACCTCCTCTTGATCTCTCCCCGCCACCCGGGCCACAGGGGCCACCTGCCGCTCCTTCTCCTTCTATCGCAAGCCCAGCCATCAGCCACTTTGTGGCTTGTGTTCATTTCTATACCCAGTGGAGAGGGACTGAACAGACCAAATCCAAACTAGACACCCTGCGTAGTTAGACACTCTAGCAAAAGAAAGATGGGAGAGCGAAACAGCACCACCAACAGTAAGGCTTCCACCAAGTGAGCGCTTACTGTGCCCAAGGATCCATGACACAGGAGCTCAGGATCTTCACGTGGGCTGGACCATATGAAATTGCCATTATCTGACTATTTTGGCAGGGGGGTAGGGTGTCTACAAAAAAAGGCAACTTTGTATTGTTCAACCTAGTATCAGTACCTGCATCTTGCAGAATAGGCTATAGCAACTACCAAGCGTGGGCGCCCAAGACTTGATGAATGCCGTCTCTGGCCCCTCCCCGAATAATAAGGCAGCGCGGACGCTGGAGCATCTACTGCTGTAGGACTAACAGGGACATTCCAGGGCTTGGCACCCCATGGCAAAAGCTATCTTAAAAGTTTGGCACATAGTAAGTGTTCAGTAAATATTAACTGCTATCATACAAGTTATTATCATTGACACAGCAAATATAACATCGGTGCTGTTTGCTATCAGCAGAAATCAATCAATTGTTCTGCTATATTCATGGGAAGTAGCCCACTTTATGACTAAACATGGCAAGAAAATCGTAAATCATAATCAAAAAATCAAAATCATAATCAAAAAAATCAAAATCATAATAAAAAATATTACCCCCAAGAAATAGGGTCAAACAGGTGAAAGGGATTAAGAGGTACAAACTTCCGATTATAAAATAAAAAGTCACAAGAATGAAGAGCATAGAGAATACAGTCAATAAGACTGTAATAACGTATGGTGACAGATGGTGACCACACATCATGGTGGGCACTAAATAATGCATAGAATTGTTGAATCCCTACGCCATACGCCTGAAACAGATATAACATTGTGTGTCAACTATACCTCAAAACATAATTTTTTTTTTTTAATCCTCCCCAGAGAGAAGCTTTATGGGGCTTTTCAAGCCAAATGCAATTTCCGGAAGAGAAATGTTGGGAAGGGAGAAGGGTAAGAGGAAAGGATTTCCGAAGTAGGCTGCTCAGCCTACTTTCCGCTGCTAAGATGGCCTTCCCTGGCATACTTTTATGTCCCACATCAAAATGAGAAGCTGACCTAAGAAGCAAAGAGACCAACACACTTATGTTTTGTGTCCCCATCTGAGATCCCCATTTGTCATGGGATGCCCCCGAAAGGAAGTCCACAGGGCCCAGGCCCACACAGCCACTCAGCACAGTCCCTGCAAGGCACCTGAACAGAGAAAGGGCTCCTGAAGGCCCCAGAAGAAGCCCAACCAGCCGCCCTGGGGCCACACATACTTGCGCATCAGCTTCTTGACTTCCCGGTCTTCTTCCTCTTGGAGCTTCTGAATGAAGCTTTTGAGGACAGGCATCTCGAACTTTATGTACTGGGCCACCTGGGGAGGAAGAAGTAAGTCTGGGGCACATCCACACCCCCTCCCAACCCTATTCCAATTCCCTCTGGTGTCTCTTTTACATAAGACCCAGAGCCGTGGGGCCCCTATTTCTACACTGATCCAAGATTTCCTCAAAGGAGGTGGCCAAGCCTCATTCTTCTCAAGGTTGGAATGGAGTTTGCGGTGCAGACGGCTCCCTACACATGATACAGACCTTCTAACTTCTCATTTCTCGTCCCCATGCATCCAATCCATGACAAGGTGAAATCAAATATGGAAAAGCACTTTCTCTTGACGCAGTGATGCAGAGGAAGACCCGAACCCACGATATTCAATAAAGTTCCCTGTTTGCCCCTAAGGGGATTTACGGAACCATGGCTTAGGACGATAGTCAGCATCTAGAGTCTCCTCCAAATGCGAACTTGTTCTGGAGAGGCTGTGGGGGTGAGGGTGGTTCCCACGTGAGTTGAAGTTAAAAGCCATCCATCATCCCCCACGAGAACCCCACCCTACTTTATCAACTCTTCTTCATGGGACAAGTGGATTTCTCTACCCTATTCATGTCTACGTGACTTGTTTTGGTCAATGGAATGTGCATGGACATGATATAATACATGACTGAGTGGAGGCTTCAAAGGAGTTTACATAGTTTGGCCTGGTTTCTTGCACCCCAGGGAGGCACTCCCCCTTAGGCCTGGGTCTCTGAACAAGACATGCAGTGCACACGTGAACGCAACCCACAGCCCACAGCAGAACTGCTGCTACCAGCCTGCAGCCTCCTGAGAAAGAACGTAAATATCTGCTGTTGTAAGCGGCTAAGATTTGGAGGTGTTTATTACAGTAGCAAAAGCTGGCTGATGCATAAGATAAGGTAAAATCACTGCTAACTTCTTGAAGTCGCTAAAAGAAGTTTGCAGAGTGTCTCAGGCCTCTTATGGTGGCCTCAGCCTAGCCTCTGTGCTCATTCTCCCTGCCTCATGGCCATCACTGCTTCAAGGAAACCTGGTATTGAGGAATGGCACAAAATGGGGCGTGGCCCTTGGCCAAAAAGTCAAGCCATAACTCAACCAAATCCCTGCCCTCCTGAGGTCCCCGACCACCCGACCAAAAGAGGACTCACATCATAGGTGACTTCTTCCACCTGGTCCTTCTCCATAAGAAACACTTTGGAGACCTGCTCACACGGGCCCTGGAGGATCCGAGCAACCAGCGGGTAATCGGTGTTCTTCAGCTTCTGTTTCTCTGTAACATACACAGCCAGAAGCAGCCCTGAGTTCGGCCCAAGCCCTTTCCACCGTAAGTAGCGGCCAACTCAGGGGTCCAAATGGCCCAGGCACCTTAGGAGATGTGGCCACGTAAGTCAGGAGACTGAATGGTGAATGAACAATCCTCGTTCAAAGCAACCACTCCCTCCCCCTAACAGAACTACCATGCTCAAATCCTTTGGAAGATACTATATTGGAGGAATTGGTTTTATCTACCTCTTGAGAAAATCCAGTTCCTTTTTAAATAAGCAGATAGGTTCTAGTGTTTGTTTCCTGGCCACATACGGCATTCCCCAGTGGACTCAGCCAGTAAGCCCAGCAGCTTCGGAGGAAAAAACAACACTTGGAAGTTTCCAAAAGCCAAACAACAAGCAAATGAGGCAGGGGTATTTTTTTTTATTATTATTATTTGCTGTTCTGAGTGAAGTAAAGACGTTCGAGTACACAGTATTTTTCAGACTTACCACCGCTGGTGTGGACCACATACAAAGCAAACTCCTCTGCGGAATTCTCGATCTGAATCAGAAAAAAAATAAAGATGCTTGGAGGAAGCACATATTCATACATTCCAACCCCAAGCCATTCCTTCCTGCGTCTCGCAAAGCTAAATCAACTTTAGGCAACTTTCGAGGGGGGAGCTATTTATCTAGAGTTCTCAGGAGTGATTAGGGGATGGGACAGGAAGGGAGCTTCATCAGTCGCCGCAGATAATCAGGGCTAACATTTATTGCACCCGCCAACACCGTGCTCCACACTTTGCATACGTTCACTCATCTAATGCTCCCGACAGCCCCTCCATGGGGTCCCATTAACTCTCATTTTACAGATGAGGAAACAGAAGCACACACAGCTTAAGTAACTTGCTCAGCTCATCCATCCAGCGGGTGATGGTTGGGGATTCAAACATGGAGCCTGTGCCCTTAGGCCACTGGGCGATACTAGCCTCAATGAAAAATAAGAATCTCTGACTTCAAAAGATAAGGGGACAATTACTTATACAGGGATTGCAGAGAACAGAGTAACGGAACTTTAAAAACACTCATGCACTATGATTTGCTCATCTACTAAAGTTTCTTAAAAAATTGTTTTTAATGTTTATTTTTGAGAGAGATACATAGAGAGAGTGTGTGGGCAGAGAGAGGGGACAGAGAATCTAAAGTGGGCTCTGTGCTGACACCAGAGAGCCCAATTCGGAGCTAGAACTCACAAACCGTGAGATCGTGACCTGAGCTCAAGTCAGACACTCAACTGGCTGAGCCACCTAGGACCCCCTGAAATTCCTTTTCCATAGTTGGTTCCCCAAATGTGTTTCAGAAGTCAGTCTGTGCACAGAGCCCCAAGCAGTCATCAGGCCTGGGGTATCTGAATCCCCTGCAAGTTGCTGATCGGGCTCCCTGGCCTCACATCTGGGCTTCGGATTCCACAGGTCTAATTCAGGGCTGGGGCCTGAGCTGCTTTGCTGACAGGCTCCCATGTGACATTGATGTCGCAGAGTCTGAAGAGCCCAAACTGTCTGCCCGGCACCCCCTTACCGCACACTCTCCCCGGCCCCCCGGCCCTTGGGCACGCGTACCAGCCATCCCCGGCCAGCCAGCAGGAGGAACTTGCCTTGAATTTGTTGAGCAGCAGCTTCAGGACCTGCGGGGTGGTCATGGTGCTGTTGATGCGGACGTTGGTGACAGAGCCATAGGCCGGCGTGAACACAGACGTCTGTCAATAGAGAGGTCTAGTTCAGGCTGGCGGTGGGGACAAGGACTGGGGCACTAAAACCTAGGTGTCGGGCCCCATGACCTGGGGGAAAGGGCACAGTGACAGTGGCCCTTACCCTGTGCACCTGACAGCTCCCTGAGAGCCTGGCAAGCAGTGGGCTTTAATGTCAATAAGGCCGCCCCGGGCTTTGCCTAACTCAGGATCGAATTGCCCACCCGCCGCCCGCAAGGGGGGATCTGAGCTCGGCAAGTGGCAGGGCTGGGGAGGGAAGGTAGACCCAGATAAGGAAGACCCTCTCTCCAGATAAAACCCCCACAAGGCTCCTTCCACTGTGACTTCAACACAAGGTCTCTGACCACTCTCCCATGATGCACTTGCTCCTAGGGCTGGGTCTGGACCAGGCAGCAGAAGGAAAGAGGGTCAGCCAGCTTTGAGTGGGGCAGACAGTGCAGGGATGCCCCTGGCTTGAGTCCTGAAACTCTGTTTCAGAAGTGGCACTTAGCTCACAGAAAAGGGGGGCCCCACACCAGCCGAGGGGCACATGGTATAGGAAGTGGGTAACGTGTGGATTTTCCCCAGAGTAGTGAATGGCTCGGATGCTTGTCATCTCACCCACCACCTGTGGGGGGCTCCTGATCCAGGGTTCCCCGTCCTTCACAGAGCCAGCCGAACCTGAAGCCCACCCACGACCCAAAGACGGGACAGCAAACACTTGGCTTCCCACACGTCTGCAGCCTCGAGGTGGCAGCTGCCCAAGAAAAAGCATTATTCCCCTAAGGCTCCCCAGGTCCCACCCCCCCATCCTCTCTACCTTGTGGTTGTAGAAATGGCCATTGATGGAGAATCGGTGGCGTCGGATTCGCCTCTGGTCGCTGGGTGTCCTCACATTGCCACGGCGACGCACCCCAACATCACTGCGCGTGCGCATCAGCTGCGGGGTGTCTTCCTGCAGGGTCTTCAAGCCCCTGGAGTCTAAGAGGGAAGGAGGAAATAAGCTCTTGGGCCGGGGGTGTGGCCAGGGCTGCAGTACCCACCACCGCCTCCCCTCACATATGTTTCATAGAAACTGTATTTCCCACTCGGGGGAAAAACATATGGTATAATGTACTGAGAAGCAGTCCGGTGACAAGGTTCAGAGCACAGACTTCAGAGCCAGATTCCCAGGGTCAAATCCCAGCTTCACCATTGCCATGTAGCACAGACCCCTCTATGTTCATTGCCTCAGTTCCCTCATCTATAAAGTGGGCATCACGGAATTATTAGGAGGGTTTAGTGAATGAATTCACACAAAGCTTTTAGAATAGTGCTTGGCACAGGATAAGCATGACATAAGGACTTGCAAGATACAGCGAGCTGACAATATCTTCAAGATTAGAAATGCACATAGCCTCAGACCCAGAGATTCCACTTGAAAGAATCCTACAGACACTTGACAAATGTGTGAAATGACACGTGTACAAGGCCACCAACTGCAACCTTGTTTGTCACAGTAAACGACTGGAATGACTTGGGGGGCCTGGGGCCTCAGTTGGTTAAGCGTCAGACTCTTGACTTCTGCTCAGGTCATGATCTCATGGTTCTGCGGGATCAGTCCCCACGTGGGGCTCCGAGTTGACAGCATGGAGCCTGCTTGGGGTTCTTTCTCTCCCTCTCTCTGTACCCCCCCCCCCCACTCATACATACATGCTCTCTCTCTCTCTCAAAATAAAAAAAAAAAAAAACTGGAATGACTTCAATGTCTATCAGTAGGGAGTGAGCCAACTATCATTTCTCCACACAATGGAAAGAACGGAAGTTCTTCGTGGATTTGTATGGAGCAGTACTCAAAACAAACTCATAGAAACAGGGATGAGCAAAATGCTACCACTGATGGAAACGGGGAAGAAAAGAAATGACATCCGACGATAAAGGTACATTGCTGTGTATTTGCTTGTATTTGCATAGAATATCTCGGCAAGATAGTCTCACCACGCCTTCAGGTTTTTTTCTAGAGAGGGAACCTCTAGGGTGAGTAGATGAAATGGGTAATTTTCATCTGTTTCTTGGAATCCTCTTTGAATCCTGAACCAGGTGAATTTCATTTATTCACTGTACAACAGCTGGAGCCACATCAGTCTTCACGTACGTGGGCCTGAAGCAGGAGCCCTTCCCACCGCGCACATACCTGTGGGACTCGATGTCTGTTCACTCTCGGGCGGGGCGTCCGCTTCTGAGATCTGAATGCTGGGCACGGTGAGAGGCTTCAGGATGGTGCTGGGGAGGCAGGAAACAAAAGGGAGCCTGGCTCAGCCCCTGCAGGGAGACACTCCCTCTCCTGCGAGGGGAGCACTTCGCCTATGCCAGACAGGGGACCAGAAAACACCCGCGTGGACAGCCCATGCTGTGTCCCGTGAGGCTGGCAAAGCTCCAGGGCTGAGTACTGGCCGGCGCAGGGGTATTTCGGAGGAGAAGATGCTCATTCCCAGCAACAAACACAAGCACCCAATTCATCAAGCCCAGGGTGGAGAACCCCAAAGAACAAAATCTGTGCGTTGTGTGCACGGAGTTTCTAAGCACATACGGGTTCTATGGCTTATTTGGAAAATCCTAAAAACAGACATTTCTTTTTCTCCAGACAAGATTCCAGTCCAGGTCCTTTTCTATTGGAGGAATAACTCAGAAACTGCTTCTGGCATCTAAAAGGAATGGTTGCCCTGAGGATCAGGGCTGCGTTGGAAGGGCCACTGATGATGGCGTGCTTGGGGGTGCCAGATGGAATGCCCAGCCAAGCTGGAGAAAGGACCACAAGCAGGCAGTCTGAGCAGAGTCCTGGTGCTGCTGTGGTAACTGGCAAATGACTCCCCTAAGCCAGAAAGGATAATGACAGCAGCTCAGAGAAGCACACCCAAAAGCAACAGAGGATTTGGCCCGAAAGGAGAATCATACTTAACCAATTAGAACCATCCCAACATGAGAAGAGTGTGGGCTCCCTGACACCCGGAAGAGATGGGACTTATGGTCCAGGGACAAAAGTTTTAAGAGAAGAGAATAGTTTTTTGGAAACACTAAAATGGAAAATCAGAAAGAACTTCCTATTGTAGTAGAACTCTGGACTTCGGACTCCAGAATGGAACTGGTCAGAGCCTCTCGGGAATAGTGAACACCGGGCACCCACAGGGACCACGGCCCATTCCCTCACCGAGGCAGAAACAGGTCTCGGGATCCTTCTGGACACAGTGGTCCAGGCGCTTGCTTTACTGTAGCAGGCATCAGAGTTGACACTACCACCATTCCCGACAACTCTCTCAAAGTACTGGTCGGTTTCAAGAGCCACCCGAGACTGCCTGACGTTGCAGGGATGGGAGAAGAAACGAGTGTGCAGAGTGAAGGACCCCTTAGCAGGCTCAGCCAAAAACCACGCGGTCAAATGGCATTTCAAAAACCCTGTCATTTAGGGAACAGAAGGTAGCATAGGCCAGGGATTGGGACGTGACTGTGGGAAGGGTTTGACTCACAGGAAACCAGATACGGTAAAAGTGCTGAAATCAAAAGTGGAATGAGAACCCAGCCAAGGTAGATGAAGCCAGAGAACCTTGACTAGACATCGCAGCTCCTGATGGGATGGGCAATAAATTCCCTCCTAAACCTCCCTTGCAAAGAAAGCAGATGGGCTCCAGGGTCTGGCCACAATGTAGGTCTCTCTCCACTTTAGAGAAAGATAAACTCCACAATGTGGAGTTTAACAGAACGTTCAGTGTGTCCAACAGAGAGGGTCGGGTTCTGGTTTAAAACAGAAAACACTATCGCTGTGGTTTTGGCTGAGAGGTCGGCCCGCCCCACCCGTACTCCGGCCCCAGGGCAGCAGGGACCGATAAGTTTCTGGATGGAACACAGCCAGTCACTTGATACCGAGAAATGAAGTTCCAGAAAGAAGTCCCAGTAAAGAGGGCGGGCCTCACTGGATGCACTTGGCAACCATCAGACAGCGGAGGGAGGAAAGGAGCAGACCTTCCCAGACCTCCCAGCGGGGACCCAGAGGCGGGGGCCTCCCAGACTACAGACTGCACGCCAACACCAGCTCCAGGTGGGGCCTGAAGGGAGCAGCCCCCAAGCTGACCTTGTCTGCGTGATTTGGACAAGTCCTGATGCTCTTCTTCATCTTCCAGGTTTCCCCCCAGATACGGAAAGCTTTGGAGAGAATGCTGGAGCCCTAAGTGTCTCCGGAGCGGGGTCATTCTATGAGCAGTGGTCCCCTTGGGGAGGTTCTGGGACACCAGGCATCCATTGAAACTCTGCAGGTTGGCCTGGCTGGCTCTGAAGCGATTCCCTTCAGAGTCTCGGGAATTCTCCATGAGGGAGGACACACCGCTCAGCCAGGCGCTGGTGCGTCTCCCCTCTGACTCTCACCCAGTGATTGTGGTAACAGGCATGGTGGCCAGACCACACCAGTGTCTGCTCCCTCCTCCTCCTCCTAAGCCCAGAACAGGTGCACCGGTGGTGCAGGTGGGAGAATGGAGAGCTGGCTTGTTGGAAGGAGGTGGCATTTACCAACTCAACAATATGCAAGAAGAGAAACCCCCGACACTCCCAGTCACCCCCAGGCCCACCTCTCCCCACTCACCCCTGAGCCCCCAAGTTACAGCCAGAGTGCCAGGAGGAAGAAGATGGCGGGGGGCGGATGCGTTCGTTGTCATCCTGCATCTGCAGACGGATGGGCCGGCGCAGCCCCCAGGAGATGTTCAGCAGCCCCTCCACGATGAACTCATCTTCCTCCTGCCCACAGAGCAGCCAGCACGGTGAGCCAGCCCAGAAAACCCCGCCAGCACCACGCTGGGGGACAGCGCCCTCGGTGTGTCCTCGCTGGGCGCACCCCGGTTACACTCACACCCCAGCTCCAGGACACACCCCACTGCAAACTCTCTGACGCCCTGAAGAGGACCTCACGGGTCCACACAAAAGTTGCCTTGAAATTCAAGAACACGTGTGATGGATAAAAATGGGGTATTTTTCAGGCACCCGGATGGTGGCTCAGTCAGTTAAACATCTGACTCTTAATTTAAGCTCAGGCCATGATCTCACGGTCTGTGAGTTCAAGTCCCACGTTGGGCTCTGAGATGACAGTGAGGAGCCTCCTTGGGATTCTCTCTCTCCTCTCTCTCTGACCCTCCCCTGCTCGTGCTCCCTCTCTCTCAAAATAAATAATTTTTTTAAATGGGGTGTTTTTTTAATACTTTATAGAAAACAAGCATACATCTTTTAAATAAGTGAGACTAACCTTGCTAATGAAGCAGAAGCTAAATTCCTGCATTAGCTACTTTCCTCTCCCTTACCAGGGAAAATGGTATGTCTTTAGTTATAACATATATTTAGCAATCTGACCTGTCTGTTGAAGGAGATTCAAAGTAACATTTCCTCAACTTTATTCTACAGAATACTAGCTCCTCTAACAGATCAACTGTTACCTTAAAAAGGGTGTCAAGTGATCATGATGACGTGCTAATCAGATTTCTTACCAGCAGAACTTCCCAGAGCCTTTAATTAGCTATGGGCTACATGACGGCTCTCTAGGAGGTGAATGGATCCGGCAAGAATTCCCAATTTATACTCAAGAATTGCTGACTGATAAAAAATTAAATGTGAAACCCTTTTAAGGGCATCTGCATGTTTTATCCAAAAAAAAAAAAAATAGTCTCATTGATGATCATGAAACATTTTAATCATAGAGCATTCTGAGAATTTATTCTATAAGACACAGCCCAGAAAAGTTGTTCAAGGACCAGAATCTTGAGAATGGCCCAGTCATTAATTAGGAGAAGTTTTAAGGACAATGCATAAAAGGGTCAGACCTTCTTCCCCAAGTCTCAGAAGGAAGAGCCATGTCTTCAGGACATGCTGTATGGATAAAGACACACATGTCCAATGAACCACTGAACTGGATCCCGGGATCATCCTCAGACAGGTGGGGGAAGAATAAAACAAGACAGGAGAGAAATGAAACAACTTTCAAGCGTGTGGGCATCTTGTAGGGGGGGAGGGAGGTGGAAGGGAAGGTTTATTTAAGACTAGGCCATAAGGGGGCACGTGGGTGGCTCAGTTGAACATCCAACTTCGGCTCAGGTCATGATCTCACGGCTCACGGGTTCAAGCCCCACGTCGGGCTCTGTGCTGACAGCTCAGAGCCTGGAGCCTGCTTCGGATTCTGTGTCTCCCTCTCTCTCTGCCCCTCCCCTGCTCGCTCGCTCACACAAGCTTTTCCTCTCTCTCAAAAATAAATAAACATTAAAAAATTTTATATATAAAAAAAAGAACAGGTTATATGTATGGCCTTCTAGCTGGTCAAGGCTGGCATCATTACATGATTTAGGCAAAGTAGGACTTTGCCTAAGTGGACTGGTTTAAGGGCCACAGAAAAAGTCACTGCATGTCACATCTTATCTGCAACCAGCCTGCCTTAGTAGCTGAAATTCTACCATCTGATATCTGTTTCTATGGATTAAATCGCCCTGGCTAGATAACCTGAAAATGCGTTTAGAACTGTATTACACATATCTTCTTATCAGTCTAGAACTCTTGAGTATAAATTACTCTACCAGGCTCCCAGATAGCTCATCATCTACCTGATAACAGGCTTTACAGAAATGTATACAGGATGAGTAAGCTTAGATTCAGGATGGGGGCTGGGGAAAGATGGACGGATAGCAAAGAGCATCCTGGGAAGGCACCCCAGGAACACCGATACAGAGGTGAGGAAGGGCAGAGCATTTCCACACAGACCTCACATGACTTGCCCATTTCATGAAAGCCCCCTTTGGAGGACCGCCCCCCCCCCTCCCACAGCCTCACATCCCCAGAAATGTCCTTGGAACAGAAAAGCCCATCCTCTTCAGAACAAAATGAGCCAGGGGTCTCCTTCCAAAGAACTCCAGCAACTCCCGCTGACATCCTAAATGAGAGGCCACTCGCGGGGGCAGGAGAGGCAGGGACCCTTAGACCCTGGAGACGTGGAGGTAAAGACTGGGCTGGCCCATGGTCCCCCTTCCCTGAGGACCCCTTACCTCACGGTGTCGCAGCTGCAAATTCTGGCCTTCATAGTACAAATTGTAGGTCTTCAAATGCAGGAGAAGTTCGTTCCTTGCGGGAAAAATACAAAATACAATACAAAAATACAAAAGGTGTAACACTCCCAGCTGAAGCCACTGAATGTCGTTGTTCCCTCTTTTCTCTAACCTGGTCTTCGGCCACCCCAGTCTGGGTGTCTGTCCACATGAGTGTGTGCACACACACATAGCTACCACCCCCATCCTCATGTTCCCCCAAGATCGAGGTCAAGAGTAGACACGTAGCGTAAGGAACAACTCCAGAAAACCAAGGCAGGCCCCGCCTTCTGACCACAGTCCCCAAACCCAAGCTAAATACGCAGTCCTCCATAAGGCACAGATCCACAGAGGCAAATGTCTCCATAGTCTGTCCTCCCTCACATACGCTGTGAGTTACGACAGGACCCTGCGCTTAGGACAGGACAATCCCGGTAGGCCTTCACGAGACTCGGAAACTTCTAGGCTTTCCGGAAAGTTAAAAGGAATAGGTCTGGGGGCGCCTGGGTGGCTTAGTCGGTTAAGCGTCCGACTTTCGCTTGAGTCATGATCTCGCGGTTCGTGGGTTCGGGCCCCGCGTCGGGCTCTGTGCTGACTGCCAGCTCAGAGCCTGGGGCCTGTTTCAGTCTGTGACTCCCTCTCTCTCTGACCCTCCCCTGCTCACGCTGTCTCTCTCTATCTCTCCTAGAAATAAATAAAAAAACATTTAAAAAAAAAAAAAGGAATAGGTCTGGACCCAATGACTTACGCTTCATAGACATGACCTCAGGGCGTGTTTAAAAACCTACAAACTCCCACCACGGTGGACTGGATGCATAAAGGGGGCTGAGTCACATGGTGGGATATTATGTAGCAGCAAGAATGTGAATGAGCTACCCACAACACGGATGGGTCTCACGGACATTACGCTGAGTGAAAGAAGCCTCACACCAAAGACCGCGTATCGGATGGTTCCATTTATATAAAGTTTAAAGTGGGTGCTAGAGTTCAGGATAGTGGTTCATCTTGGGGAGCAGTGACCACAAGGGCGCAGGAGAGGGCTCTGGGCCCTGGTGATATTCTATTCTACCAACTTTTATCTTTTTATTCTTAATTCTAGATTCTTTCAGTTTCTTTTATTTTTTGTTTATTTATTCTTTTAAGTGTTTATTTCTATTTGAGAGAGAGAGAGAGAGCACAAGTGGGGAAGGGACAGAAAGAGGGGGGGGACAGAGGATCTGAAGCAGGCTCAGCGCTGACAGCAGAGAGCCTGAAGTGGGGCTCGAACTCATGAACTGTGAGATCGTGACCACAGCCAAAGTAGGACGCTTAACTGAGTCACCCAGGTGGCTCTTTTCAGTTTAGTTTTAAAATTTTGGGGGGGGAGGTGCTTGGCTGGCTCAGTTGGAGGAGCATGTGACATGTGACTCTTGATGTCAGGGTCATGAGTTCAAGCCCCATGTTGGGTGTGGAGATTACTTAAATAAATAAATACACAAACAAAATTGTTTTAACTTGAAAATATCCCGCTGAAGCCTCCTCCCAGGCCTCCTTAGCTGTTAGGTCCTGGTTTCCAGGTGGCCCTCTGGAAACACAGCTCTCCTGAACAAAGAAAAAGTGACGACTTCCCACCTCTGTGATCAGGGTGAATGCGCATCAAACCTGAGAACAGTCTACTCAAGTGTTATCGGAAAGTGCATGCTAGCGCTTGGGGGCTGTGAAGGGAAGAGGCTGCCTGTGCTTTTGCCTCGTCTCAGGCAAGAGGCTACGAAGTTCAGTCCCTCTGATTCCAGCCATTTCAACAGAGCCATGCGGGGCCACCCCAGAGGTCAAAGCCGGCTTGAAATTCCAAGACTCTCCTGCCAAGTTAAACCTAGAAAAATCGGAGTAATTCTATGCAAGCCTAAGTGAATTAGTGAAAAATGTGACTTCAAGTAACCGGATCAGTAGAAGTCGCTGGGGAAATCCTTCAATCAAGAGATAAGAATGATCCATATCTCACACAACTGCATGTCTGTATATGGCCAAATATGTGTAAAGGAATTAAAACAATTTGGTGTCAGATAAGCTAAACATTTAGCTCAGACACAGAGCACCCAGTGTGAACAAATCCTTGTGCTGGACATAAAAATATATCCTCGAAAATATAATTTGAAAAAGTCCACTTTGGGGGCATCTGGGTGGCTCAATCAGTTAAGTATCCAACTTTGGCTTGGGTCACGATCTCAGGGTTCACGAGTTTGAGCCCCGCGTTGGGCTCTGTGCTGGCAGCTCAGAGCCTGGAGCCTGCTTCTGACTCTGTGTCTCCCTCTCCCTCTGCCGCTTCTCTGCTAGCGCTCTGTCTCTCTCTCTCTCTCTTTCTTAAAAATAAACATTTAAAAAAGGTTAATTTTTTTTTAAAAAGTCCACTTTGGCTCACATTAGCCAAAAATCTGAGCTCGAGAGATTTTCCTGCATACAGAGCAATGAAATTGTCTCCTTCTGTTCAGGGGGCACCTGAACGTTTAGTCAAAAGCCAGCAGCACAGGGACAGAACCTGGCTGGGACTCCCCCAAGGGGATACCATTGGTAGCACAGTGAGCCGCCACCATTAACTCCTCCTGGAAGCCCTCCAGGATACCATCTCTTTTGAGCATCCAAACGTGCTGTGTCTTGAAGGTCTCCTTTACTTTGCTATCTATGGCCAGGCTCTGGGGGCGTGTTTTTTATCTATAGCACCAACCTTGCTGTGCTCTCCCTAGTTCACACAGGGGCTTCGCTCCTTCCCCCACATAGGAGAGCCCCTGCTCCCCCGCGTACAGAAGAGGCTCCTATGCCAGGGGCTTCCATCCCTGTGGGACTAGCCACTGGGGACACAATACTACAGCGAGAAAATCTTACTTGGAGATGTATTTATCTTGTCCACATGGGACTAGGGAGGTTTGGTGACTGTAGTCCATTCTTCCTTTCTCTTTTCATCAGAAGGGGAGACCTATATTTGAAAGAAGACACAGGTTAAAGTCAAATTGTGTCCTTAGGAACTCAGCAGAACTTGGACCAGGGGAGGGAGCACACGGCTCTGTTCCCACCCCAGATCCAGAGCTGGGGAAGCCCGACGTTGACCCGGGGCTGGTGAGATGCCACACTGCTGGCTGCTGCCTCCACTGGCCACAGCCGCTGGGGAAAGGCACCTGAAGACGACAGCCCTCGGAAAGCCCCAGAACAAAAGTTCCAGTCACAGAGAATGTTGACGCCCAAGTCTTTCCTGAAGAGATCTTCACCACACAGGATAGAGATTTGTCTGATAGTGAATGCTCAAATTCTACTGAGGTAGACTAAAGACTGGTCAACCACCTAAAAATGCCCAGAGAGAGCTGGGCCCAATAAATCACAGCATATCCATCTATGATCGCCATTAAAATATGACAACGTTAAAGCCAATTTGGTTACCTGAGCTCATGGCAATACATTATGAAAACACAGGTTATAAAACTGTGCGTCCATTTTTGTTTAAAATATATGTAAGCATAAAACATACATATGTAAACGTCTATATGAATGGATCTATATTCAGATACTCAGCGATATATGTCAGTCTTTCTCAGCCTCAGCACTATTGACATTTGGGGCTACATCATTCTTTGTTGTGGGGGCTGTCCAGTGCACTGAAGGGTGTGTAGCAGTATCCCGGCCCTTTACCCACCAGGCGCCAGCAGCACCACCCAGTATGACGATCAAAATGTCTCTGGACATTACCCAGTGTCCCCTTGGGGCTAAATTTCTCCCAGTTTAGAAGCCCTGGTATATGTATATCTGTATGTAAATGAAAGAAGGATTGGCGCTCTCTGGGTAACAGCTTACCAGAAATTTTCTTCAAATATTTTGTTATGAGCATTTTCAAACATAAAGATTTAGAACAAGACAATGAATAGTGTGCATGGCTATTCTACCCTTAACATTTACTATCCTTCTTTATCACACATCTGTCCAGCTATACATTCCTTTGTTCAACAATCCGTCTTCTTTTTGATGCACTTCAAAGTAGATTAACACACAAAACAAGTTTCATAACTTAAGAAGATTGAAATCATATCAAATGTCTTCTCCAACCAGAATGCTATGAACTAGAAATCAATAGCAGGAAGAAAACCGGAAAATCCACAAATATGTGGAAATTAAACAAAACCATCCTGAACAACCAATGGGTCAAAGAAGAAATCAAAGTGGAAGTCAAAAATGTCTTCAAAACAAACAAAAATGGAAATTCAACACATCTAAGTTATGGGATACAGCAAAACCAGTTCTAAGAGGGAAGCTTATAGCAATAAACACCTACATTAAGAAAAAAGGAAGGTCCCAAATAAACAACCTCAAGAAACTAGAAAAAGAATAAATGAAGCCCCAAATTAGAAGAAGAGAGGAAATAACACAGATCAGAGTAGAAATAAATGAAAGAAAGAAGAGAAAAACAATAGAAAGGACCAATGAAACTACGTTGGTTTTTTGAAAAGATAAACCAAATTGGCAAACCTTTAGTAAGACTAAGAGAAAAGACTCAAACAAAATTAGACATGAAAAGGAGACATTACAACTGATACCAGAGAAATACAAAGGATCTTAAGAGAATACTATGAACAATTATATGCCAACAAAATGGATATCCTAGAAGAAATGGATAAGTTCCTAGAAACATATAACCTACCAACACAGAATCATGAAGAAAAAGAAAATCTTAATAGACCAATAACAAGTAAGATTGAATTAGTAATCACAAATTTCCCAGGTCTTGAAAAGAAAAGCCCAGACCAGATGGTTTCACTGGTGAATTCTACCAAATGTTTCAAGAAGAATCCATATCAATCCCTCTCAAATTCTTCCAAAAGAGGTTGAAGAGGAGGGAACACTCCCCAACTCATTTCATGAAGTCAGTGTTACCTTGACACCCTGATGGCCAGGTAAATAAAACTACAGGCCAATCTACCTGATGAATGCAAATTTAAAAATCCACAACAAAATATTAGCAAACCAAATTCAACACTGTATTAAAAAGATCATATAACATGAGGGGCACTTGGGTGGCTCAGCTAGTTAAGCATCTGACTCTTGATTTCAACTCAGGTCATGATCTCGCAGTTCATGAGATCAAGCCCCATGTCAGGCTCTGTGCTGACAGTGTGTAGTCTGCTTGGGATTCTCCCTCTCTCCCTCTGTCTCTGCCCCTCCCTTGTTCACAGGTGCTCTCTTTATCTCTCTCTCTCTCAAAATAAATAAATAAACTTTTTTTAAAAAGATCATAGAACATGATTAAGTGGGATTTATCCCTGGGATGCAAGGATGATTCCACACACATAAATCAATAAATGTGATCTAGCACATTACTAGAATGAGAGATAAAAATCACATGATCTAAACAGATGCAGAAAATGCATTTGACAAAATTCAACATCTAAAAAGCTAAATGACACTGATGAAAGAAACTGAAAACAAATACAAATAAATGGGAAAATATCCCATGTTCATGGATCAGAAGAATACTGTTAAAATGTCCATCGTACTTAAAGCCATCTCTAGATCAACATAATCCCTACCAAAATTCCAATGGCATTTTTCACAGAAACAGAAAAAATAATCCTCAAATGTGTATGGAACCATAAAAGAACTCAAATAGACAAAGCAATCCTGAGAAAGAATAAAGCTGGAGGCATCACGTTTCCTGATTTCAAATCTTACTACAAAGCTGCAGTATCCAAAACAGTATGATGCTGGCACGTAGACCAATAAAACAGAATTTAGGGACCAGAAATAGACCCATGGATATACAATTAATATTTGACAAGGGAGCCAAGAATATTCATGGGGAAACTTCAATAAGTGTTGGAAAAATTGGAAACTCACATGCTAAAGAGTGACATTAGACCTCTATCTCACACCTGTTGGAACAGCTAGTATCAAAAAGACACATGAGGGGAATCTGGGTGGCTCAGTCGGTTGAGTGCCCAACTTCAGCTCAGGTCATGACTTCACGGTTCATGAGTCTGAGCCCCACGTCAGGCTCTGTGCTGACAGCTCAGAGCCTGGAGCCTGCTTTGGATTCTGTCTCTCTCTCTTTCTCTCCTCTCTCTCTCTCTCTGCCCCTCCCCCAGCTCACACTTTGTCTCTCTCAAAAATAAATGTTAAAAAAAAAAAAAGACATGAGATAACAAGTGTTGATGAAGATGTGGAAAAGACTGGAACCCTTGTACACTGTTGGTGGGAATGTAAAATGGTGCTCCACTGTGGACATGTTGTCCACATGGCAGTTCCTCACAAAGTTAAAAACAGAATTACCATATGATCCAGCAATTCCACTTCTGGGTATACATCCAAAAGAACTGAAAGCAGGATCTTGAAGAGATATTTATACACCCGTGTCAATAGCAGCACTGATCACAACAGCCAAAAGGTGGAAACCACTCAAATGTCCATCAACAGATGAATGGATTAACCGTGTATGGTATACTATGGCATATTATGCTGCCTTAAAAAACAGAAGGAAATTCTAGGGTGTCTGGGTGGCTCAACTGGTTAAGCGGCCGACTCTTGGTTTCCGCTCAGGTCGTGGTCTCACAGCTCATGAGTTCAAGTCCCACATTGGCTATGTGCTGACAGCGCAGAGCCTTCTTGGGATTTCTCTCTCCCTCTCCCTCTACCCCTCCCTAGTTCTCTTGTTCTCTCTTTCTTTCTCTCTCTCTCTCTCTCAAAAAATAAATAAACATTAAAAAAAAAAGGAAATTCTGACACATGCTACAATATGGATGATGACCTTCAAGGACATTCTGCTAATTGAAATAAGCCAGCCACAAAAGGACAAATTACTGGCTGATTCCACTAATATGAAGTTTCCAGAGTAGTCAGTGTCATAGAAACATAAGGTAGAAATCTGGTTGCTCGGGTGCCTCGGTGGTTGTCGGTTAAGTGTCCAACTTTGGCTCAGGTCATGATCTCACGGCTCGTGAGTTTGAGCCCCGTGTTGGGCTCTGTGCTGACAGCTCGGAGCCTGAAGCCTGCTTCGGATTCTGTGTCTCCTCTCTCTCTGTCCCTCCTCCTCTCACACTCTGTCTCTCTCTCTCTCTCTCTCTCAAAAATAAAACAAACCTTAAAGAATTAAAAAAAAAAAAGTTGGTTGCCAAGTCTAGGAGTGGGGCGGGGGGGAATTCGTGTTTCGGGAGTACAGGTTTAGTTCCGCAACATTAAGAGATCCGTGGCTGGATGGTAGTAACACATGGATGGATGGTAGCCACTGTCCTTGATGCCACTGGACTGCGCACTTAAAAATGAGGAAGCTGATACATTTTCTGTGTATTTCGCCAAGACTTTTTACAAAATGGAAGAGGGAGGCAGAAAAGCCGGTGCTATCGTGCTACGACGTGAGAAGGACACAATCTGCCGTGGCTGGCTTCGAAGCTGGAGAAAGACGGGCCCGAGCCAAGGAATGTGAAAAGCTGAAAAGGACAAGCAAGTGGATTTTCCCCTGGGTCCCCTAGAAAAGAACACAGCCCCGGCTGACACCTTGATTTGAGCCCGGTGAGCCCCCGTAGGTTCTGATCTACAGAACCCTAAGGTAATAAGTTTGTGTTGTTTTAAGGGGCTTCATTTTGGCAATGCTTTAAGGGGCCACAGGAAACCAATGCAAAAGGCTCCCGAAAGGAGGGGCATCAGTGCAGGGAGGGGAGCCGAAGGGCTGAGTCTCGTTCAGAAAATTCAGTCCCCACCTGCGTACCCAAAAAGGGGTATCCTCAGAACACAACTGTTCTCTCTAAATTATAAATGTTCATTTTTCAATATTTCCTAAGAGGAAAAACAATCATAAAAACAGAGGTACATATGCACTGTGGGGGGGGGGAGGGGGGGGAGAATCAGACTGGTGAAAAAGTTATTATTTTTTTTTTTAAAGACAATTACCCGAAACTAGTGAGTCGTTTCTTTTTTAAAGTACCCTTTCTATGCAGATTT